GGCTGTCTAGATCAGTAACCCCCAACCTACTCAGGGCCTGCTAGAGAACTGCAGAGAAATGAGATCAAAGAGTCCAAAGATCAGCAAGTTCACAGAGGAGGCTGCCTGCCGGGTCTCTGCATGATTCCGTCCTCAGGCCTTGCATTCTCCCACCCGGCCTCCACTTGGGTAGTTGTCTGGATTACACGAGATTGGATCATTGATCTCTCCTGCTGCAGAGAGACAGTTGAACCAGCCACCCTGAGCGATTACACTTATTTAAATAATTTAGGACTTTGAAGGAGACTTACCCATTGCGTCCCTGCCCACACCGCACAGTCTCTTCCCCCCCATCTGAAGGCAAGCCCCAGATCGGTGACTCATGCTGACACAGGGGGCAGACTCCTCCAAGGCCAGGGAATTATACGCTCTGATAGCCGACCACCTCAGGTACCGCTCTGGGCTGTTCATTTTAGTTCAAGAAAAGAAGACTTTGTCTATCAGAAGTTTGGGATATTGACATAAGGGTAACGTTTTTTTCCCATTTTTTTCCTGAAGCCTTTTTTGTTTTTTTCCAAAAAATTGGAAAAATTGAAAAAAGAAAAGAAAAAAATGATTATGGAACGTTTTATTTTAACATGATGAATAAAATATTTTAAGACAAGGTTTTCAAATATTTTTCAAATTTCTAAAATATATATATATATGGTATCAGATTGATCTAATTTCTGTGCACTGAGGACAAGCAAGTCCTAGGTTACAAACTGAACTCTCCAATGCAAGAACAAGATGCATTTCTTCCTTTAGGAGGTGCGATTGTCAGAAGAAAATAAAAAGGTTTCAGTTTTATTTTTGCATGTGGGTGGGTATTCTGTTTGTAATAATTGTTTGGATATACTATATTTTTAATATGCTAATTGTGATAATTTCATGCCAAGTAAAAATGTCCATAGTCATATTTTATGTTCCTAAAGTAACAGAATGACTTTCAATCTAGAAAAGACAAAAGAAATGCTAATGTAGCATTTTTTCAATTTTTCCAAAAATTTCCGTTTTCCCCCGGAAAAAAACTGGGGGGAAAAACAGGGTTTTTTCCGAGCTTCAAAATTTCCGGAAATTTTACATCTCTAGGCTGGTGGCAGAATGGCCTTTCCCTTCATTAGGGGTTCAAGTTACAACAGCTTTGCCGCCTTCCAGTGCTGTGATTTAGATCAGCCAGCACTTTTTTGCTGTGCCCACCAAGTGCTTTTTTAAAAATGGGTGGGGCCAAATGGGGTTCCTGCCCAGTTGTTGTTGTTGTTGTTGTTAATATTATTTCAAAGATTTCTTAATCGCCCTATCCCGGCTTACACCAGGCTCTGGGCGATGTACAAAGGGCATAATGCCATAAAACAAAGATGATGAGATTTAAAATTTCCATATACAGTCTGATAAGAATGAAAACCAGAGTAAAAAGATCCAAGACGGTGACTTCGTAAATTTCGATTCCAGTTATTTATTTATTATTTATATTTCTATCCCACCCTCCCCGGAGGCTCAGGGTGGCTTACAAAGTATGTTGCAAGATAATACAATAGAACAATACAAAACATTAAAAATGTTAAAAGTACATCACAGTAATGGACAAATTTTGGTGCTCCTCTCCTAAAAACAAGATGGCCGTCCCCTAAAACGTCCCGTTCTCACCCAAGATGCCCACATCATGGTGACTATGGACAGAAATCATGTGGCGTTTGTGGTACAATGGCGATGGCGGCTCCTATTCAAAAGCCTGGCGGAAGAGCTCCGTCTTGCAGGCTCTGCGGAACTGAGCTAGGTCCCGCAGAGCCCTTATCTCCTCTGGGAGCTCATTCCACCAGATAGGAGCCGCCACCGAAAACGCCCTATTCCTGGTCATAACGAGTTTGATGGACCGGGGACCTGGCACATCCAGTAAGTTCTGATTCACCGACCGTAGTGCTCTTGGGGCAACATGTGGGGAAAGACTGCCCGGCCATTTAGCGGGAAGAGGGGAGAGAGGACTTAAAATATATAGGGGGAGGGAAGGGGAAGGGTGACAGCCAATGCAACCAACCCATTGCCCTCCCCGAGCAGAAGCTATTAGATATCTGACCGGCTGTACAGATCAAAATAACCACATTGTTGGTTTTATTTCGTCACTTCTTCCCAGTGTATTTTTAAAAGTTAGTCCTCTTGGTCCAGGGCACTTGTGGGGGGGGGGGTAGTTGGCTCCACCCCTTTGGTGGCTATTTTATGGCTCCGCCCCCCATGTCAGAATTCCAAAGGCGCCCACGGGCTCAAAAAGGTTGTTAACAATGTTCCCTCTAAGCCATGGAGTGTTGCGAGCAAAAATTCTACCTTGTGAGCTCCTGGCATTAAAGTTGTGAGTGAGCAATTTGGCTGCTGCATAAATTAGTTTGCTCTGGAGCCCTCCTCCCTGAGCTAAGACAAAAGTGTGTGAGCCAGAGGCTAGAAAACCGTGAGCTAGCCTCACACTCTCAGCTTAGGGGGAACACTGGTTGTTAACCCCCGATTAAGATTGTCCTTCCGGTATATTGCAGCAAAGAGCACAGCAGCCATTTTCTTTCTTAATGACTTCTTCTCCACGGCTACCCAGGTAGACTAGATTTGGATGGATGAGTCCAGAACCGCAGGACCCCTCATGGTCCAGGGACCGGCCCCCCGCGACGCCCTCCCGCCCCTCGCAAGATGCGCGTCACTTTCTGCCAGGCCGTGCTGGCCGTCGCCATAGCGTTTAACCTGCTGGTCCTCTACTACATCTCACGGCTGCAACAGCACATCCTCCACCGCCACCGAGACCACGCGCAGCCCAGCGCCCGTCAGCAGGCCGCTCCCCTGAGGCCCGGCGTGACCCTCCTCATCAGGGAGTTCGAAGATTTCGAAAACTACGTCCCCAACGTGGCTCGGTCTTTCCTGAGACAAGAACCGGAGCTGCCCATTGTCGTGGCGGCGGACCGCCTCCCGTACCCGCCCATGGTTCTCCCAAACGCTCCCAACGTCCAAGTGGTCCTTCTCAAGCCGACCCCCGACCAGCCCGCCCACGTCTTCAGGCCCGAGACCTACGTGAGAACGGAACACGTGGCCCTGGTGCCCGACGGGGTGAAGGCGGACGCGACATCCCAGCTGGAGCGGATGCTGGAAGAGTTCAAGGCCAGCCAAAGCACGGTGGAGATGGTGGCAGCTCCCGTACACTCCATGACCCCCCTCCAGTGCCTGAACCTCCGGGTCAGCCTTAAGGAATGGATGGCCGAGTACACAGCGGCGCCTCCTTCCTCCAAGCTGTGCACGGCCTTGAAGGGGGAGGCCGTCCTCCTTCTCCGCACCAAGGACCTCTTCAACCTCTCCGTGCCCCTGGCCAAGCCTCTGCTGACCTCCCTCTTCATCCAGACCTCCCTGCGAGGCTGGGCGGTCCGCCTCCTCGACGTCTCTTTCTCGGCCCTCCACCACCCCTTGTTCACCTCCTCCCACAACCAGTGGAAGGCCGACAACCTCGCCCGATCCAACCGGCTGCAGCTCTTCCGGGACTTCGGGATCAAGCGGGTCGTCCTGGAGGACGGGAAGGAGCAGTGGTTCGGATGCGGCAAGGAGACCCCGCGGTGCTTCGGGACCATCCACGACGACACCCCAGAATACCTCTACCGAAACCGCTGGACCCCACCCTGCTGCCTCAAAGCCTTGAGGGAGACGGCCAAATACGTCATCAACGTCCTGGAGACGTCCGGGGTGCGGTACTGGCTGGAAGGGGGGACGCTCCTCGGGGCAGCCCGTCATCACGACCTCATCCCGTGGGACTACGACGTTGACATGGGCATCTACCTGGAGGACATCCCCAACTGCGAGCTGCTCAGGGGCGCCGAGTTGGGCTCCATCGTGGACGAGAAGGGCTTTGTCTGGGAGAAAGCTGTCGAGGGGGACTTCTACCGAGTGCAGTACAGCGAGCACAACCACCTGCACGTCGACCTCTGGCCCTTCTATCCCAAGAACGGCGTGATGACCAAGGACACCTGGATGGACCACCGGCAGGACGTCGAGTTCCCCGAACACTTCCTGAAGCCCTTGGTCCCCATCCAGTTCGCCGGCTTCCTGGCTCTCGCGCCCAACGATCACCGGGCCTTCCTGGAGCTGAAGTTTGGAGAAGGAGTGATCGAAAACCCGGAATACCCCAACCCGGCACTGAAGAGAATGGAGAAGGAAAACTGAACGGGCGCTTTGGGCGGGTCTGAGCCTTGAAGAGAGAGGCTCTCGGGTATCTCAGAGCTAAAGTTCTTCCCTTTCTTGAGTGTGTGTGTGTGTATGTGTGTGAAGTGCTTTCAAGTCACAGCTGTCTTATGGCAATCTGGTAGGATTTTCAAGGCAAGAGACATTCAGAGGTGGTTTGCCATGGCCTGCTTCTGTATTGTGACCCTGGTGTTCCTTTGGCGGTCCCCCATCCAAGTACTAACCAGGGCTGGCCCTACTTAGCTTCTGAAATCTGACGAGATCGGGCCAGCCCGGGCCATCCAGGTCAGGGGGCAAAAGACCTACAGAGGCGGTTTGCCATTGCCTGCCTCTGCATAGCAACCGCAGGCTTCCTTGGTGGTCCCCCATCCAAGTGCTAACCAGGGCTGACCCTGCTTAGCTGTCAAGATACAGCCGACTTAGGGCAACCCTGTAGGGTTTTCAAGGCAAGGGGCGTTCAGAGGTGGCTTGCCATTGCCTGCCTCTGCATAGCAACCCTGGGCTTCCTTGGTGGTCCCCCATCCAAGTGCTAACCAGGGCTGACTCTGCTTAGCTGTCAAGATACAGCTGACTTATGGCAACCCTGTAGGGTTTTCAAGGCAAGGGGCGTTCAGAGGCGGTTTGCCATTGCCTGCCTCTGCGTAGCAACCCTGGACTCCCCTGGGGGTCTCCCATCCAAGTGCTAACCATGGCTGACCCTGCTTGGCTTCCGAGATCTGACGAGATGAGGCTAGCCTGGGCTA